CTGTGCACACCTCTGCCCTTCATATAGCACCATGAGGACAAAGCAGCTGCTTTAAAATGACAACAGAATAAAATTCTGAAATGTCTTGGTGAAAAAAGATTTGTAAAAATATTTAATTGAGTCTTTTTGTTCAATATATAAACTTTTTAAATTGAGGACTTTTAACCTACTGTACAATAGTCAGATATACACATTTTAAATAATTTAAACCCTGGGACAAGAACTGGCCATTGCGTAAAACTACTGTGATACAACAGCCAGAATAACATACATGAACAACAAACAAAATGATGGTGGCAGATAAGTGGTCGTGTACTCTCCAATATATTGCTAAAATTCCTGGATTAAAAAAAACTTAACTTGACTTCATTTGCTTCATTTGACTTCTTTTTTCATAAATTTATTTCTTTTAGTTTTATCATTTTTCCACATTCTACCACATTCACTTCATTTGTAATTTTTTTTTTTTTGACAGGCAGAGTTAGACAGTGAGAGAGACAGACAGACAGAAAGGTCTTCCTTCTGTTGGTTCACCCCCCAAATGGCCACTACAGTCGGCGTGCTGCACTGATCTGAAGCCAGGAGGCAGACGCTTCCTCTTGGTTTCCCATGCGGGTGCAGGGCCCAAGCACTTGGGCCATCCTCCACTGCCCTCCTGGGCCACAGCAGAGAGCTGGACTGGAACAGGAGCAACTGGGACAGAACCAGCGCCCCAGCTGGGACTAGAACCCGGGGTGCCAGTGCCGCTGGCAGAGGATTAGCCTAGTGAGCTGCGGCGCCGGCCCCATTTGTAAATATTATATAATAAACAAATATTATTTTTTCTTAAAAGTAGTTATTAATATCATACTGTGAGAGATTTATTATTATGATCATAACTTTGGAAAAAGGGTATTTTGTCATGTACATGGTATAATTCAGTGAGGCAATATTTATAACTATATGCCAAATGATATGACAACTATACAATTTTTGTACTCTACATATGAACATCCACAAATAAGAGAAATTACATGATATTTGGATTTCTGGGTCTGGTTTATTTCATAATGATCTCCACATCCATCCATTTTGTTACACATATGAGGTTTTCACTTTTTATGGCTGAGTAATATTCCATTGTTTATAAATACCACGTTTTCTTTATCCAATCAGCAATTGATGGACATTTTTGCTATTGAGAATTGTGGAGTGAAATTGACATTTTGAGATTCAATGATTGCTTACAGCCCTTGTCTCTACTATTGAAGAACAGTGTTTTTTCTTCATACACTATATATTTGTTGAATGTTTTACTTATACTTAGTGTAGTGTTAATCTTATGAGTATAAGGTAAAGTGAAAATGAATCTTTGTAAAAATTAAGAATGGGTATAGGAGAGGGAGGAGGAAGAAGGGTGGGAATGTGGGCAGGAGGGAGGGTAGGGTGGGAAGTATCACTATGTTTCTAAATCTGTAATTATGAAATGCATGAAATTTGTACACATAAAATTTTTTTTTATTATTTTTTGACAGGCAGAGTGGACAGTGAGAGAGAGAGAGACAGAGAGAAAGGTCTTCCTTTGCCGTTGGTTCACCCTCCAATGGCCACCGCGGCAGGCGCGCTGCGGCCAGCGCACCGCGCTGATCCAATAGCAGGAGCCAGGAGCCAGGTGCTTTTCCTGGTCTCCCATGGGATGCAGGGCCCAAGCACTTGGGCCATCCTCCACTTCACTCCCTGGCCACAGCAGAGAGCTGGCCTGGAAGAGGGGCAACCGGTACAGAATCCGGCGCCCCAACCGGGACTAGAACCCGGTGTGCCGGCGCCACTAGGCGGAGGATTAGCCTAGTGAGCCGCGGCACCGGCTTGTATACATAAAATTTTAAAAAGAGAGGGCTAAGCTGCTATAAACATGAGATTGCAAATATCTCTTCAATATGCTGATTTCACTTGCTTTGAATATATTCCCAGGAGTGGTAGATCCACTTTTATGATCTGAGGAATCTCCATACTGTTGTACCAAGGGTTGTACCAATTTGCATTCCCACCAATAGTATAGTAGCGTACCCTTTTCTCCCCAATTTCCATTTACTTTATTTTCAGTGACTGTCACTGACCACCTTGAATATATAAGAGTATTTCAAAAACTTTGTGGAGAATGGAATTGAGAGCTGTCTATTTTGGTGTAAAAATGTATCTTTTTTTCGTAATATATATTTTCATAGACTTTTTGAGCATTTTTGTAGGCATAGATTTCAAGTTTTTTTTGTATGAAAATAAATTTATCTTTGAATTTCATTTTGTACAAACTTTTTGAAATATTCATGTAGCCAAAGTGTACCTGTAAGTTTCCCACCAGTAGAATTATTTATGTCTACCAAGTTTAAAAATAGTGCTGCCCACCCAGGAAAGGTGAACCTTTTGCTTCTTTTCCCATAGAGAACCATTTAAATGAATGATTTGAAATTACTCTGCCAAGAAATTTCAATCGTCCAGGAATGTTTCCATTTTTGAAGTACATTACATGTGTTAGTTGCTTCAGGTTCATTATTCCAGCCCTACTATGAGCTTTATACTGTGTGTCTCATGGACCCAACTTAAAGATAAAAACAGAAGTTTTATAGTGGTAAACTGCCTTGGCCTAGATCAGTGGTTTCCAAGCACGAATGAATACCAGGATCAGCGGGGGGATTTGTAAACAGATTTGCAAGAGGCTATGTCCAGAATTACTAAGAAATCAGGTTGCACCTGCAACCTGAGCATGCCTGTTTCTTAGAGGTTCCCAGGTGATGCTGACACTGCTAGATCCAGACCACACTTTGAAAACCACACAGCTCAGAAGTGGTAAAGTCTAGATTAGGAGCTAGGTCTGCATGATTCTAAAACACATTTTGAAGCGACACTGAAAAGGCATTTGAGGACTTCTCTACTGGAATAGAAGAGAAAAGCAGTAGCTTATAGCGATGAGATGGTGAACCCAAGAGAAACAGATACTCAAATCAAAAACTTGGGGTCTGAACTCCTGTATCTGCCATGTACTAGCACCTCATTTAATTTACCTAATCACTTGTGTTTTCATCACTGCAAAAAGAGTCCTACTATTAAACTTTCACTACTGTCATTTAATTGTTTTAAAGCTAAAATGTGACAATTGATGTAAAAGATTTTGCTTAGCCTCAAAGTACTACAACAAATGTTGTTTGTTCTTTTCTTTAGGAACCAAATCAGAGAAGAAGATGAACAAAACAAGAAAAACAAAAATACACCAGAGAGTGATCTAATCTTTGGTTTAAAAGCTGAGACTACGTAAAAGGAAATGCCAAACACAACAAAGAAGTTTATTAGAAACTTCAGAAGTTCATTCATCTCAAGATGAATGCACTAATAGTTTTTTAGGGTGGGGAAATTGCCAGATTTTTTCCCATAGTGTATTTTTATAATTTAAAGTGCATACATGCCATTTCTTTCTTAAAGAGGAATTCTTTTAACGAATGTTGAAAATTTATCAATAGGTAATCATTTTGATGTAATTATTTTTTAACCATACAAATTTAGTGCTAATAGTTTTCTTCTTTAGGCAGTGTGATTTTCTTTCTATCACAGAATACTGAAAATATTTTACACTTAAAATAAAATTTTCTTGTACTGATTACTGGCTTTTTGCTTGATGTTCTCTCTGAAGGTGTAAATTTTAATTCACTAGTAACATATGCTTTGAACCAATGAAATACAAGATTTGCTGTGCAGTAAATGGCAAACAATATTTTATAGGTGACTTCATATCATGACTACTCTTTATTAAGTAATTGAAATAAAGAATAAAATTTGAATTGCTTCTACTTTCTCATGCAAGCTCTCATTGTAAATATCTCCTTGTCATCAGACATAATTTCTAATTAAAAACTAATACTCACATATTAATAATTGTCTTGAATTAATTAAGGAGAGACTTTCTATTCTATACTAAAAAAGCTGTGGAGGTTCATTGAGCTCTATTTTTAGCTACAATTTCCTGCACAAACAAATTATGTCACTGTTCAATATTTGATATTAAAGTCAACAAAATTCCGTATGTCATTAGGACCATAAAGAATGATTGCATTTTCCCCAACAATGAAACATTATATCCTTAGATTAGATATTAAACTTGTTCAATGACGTGCAATCATTAATGATCAGCGTTAAAGTTTTATTTGTGTTTATTAGCTGTGTTGAAAATGAAAAACCCCTGTGCTGGGCTATCTAGGATTCTACTCATTAAATAAAATATACATATCTTTTCTATTTCTGAATTGTGTGTTTTTATACTTTAAGTGCCTATAGAAAGACAGAGTAATTTAAAATGTTTGATGTGCAAAATAGAATACTTCAGTAAATCAACAGGAAGAAGCATAGAATAGGATAGTGGTGGTAGGATTTGATTCTATCTTATTATAAAATGAGCATTTCTCGGAGTTCACTTTGCATTATCTACAGAGATTTCTTGACTGTTGGGTACATGAGGCCACTTCAAAAAGTTTATGGTAAAATGGAGTTTAAAGATAAGTTTATTTTTGTGTCAACAAATTTTGAAATCCACAACATTTTCTTCATAAGATTTGTTTTTTATAAAATTTTTGAATATTCCTTGTAAAATCCAAATTATGTTGTAACGTAAATTAGTACAGATATGAATTTATGGGGAATTGAGTTTCTTCAGAGGGCATAGATTAAAGGCTAAAACAAATACTTTAGAGAAAAACAATTCCAAATTCAGCTATGTCACCTACTAGCTGTGTGACTTTCAACACATTATATGACCTTTCAGTGTCCCTGCTTCCTTGTTTGTAAAAATGAAATCTGTGATAAGGATTGAAAGATCAACATTTTTAAAACACTTAGAACAATATACAGAAAGCGTTTAGAAGCCTGTGTTTGTGAAATAAAAATCAAACATACATTACAAATAAAAATTCTTCTGTAATATGATACATGTTTCTTTGCTATTTGTAAATGAACATTTCATAAATTTGTCTACGTACTCTTGTATTGTTCATGAAAGATTCCAAAATGTTTCCTTTTGATGACTTAGGAGATAGAACACATGGGATGTAGAGACAAATCCTTCAGTGAATTGTTGAGATCAGCTGTTATCATGAAGCTATCTCTGTGAATCAAAAAAATATGTCTGAAATACACAGCATCTACCAACTAGATAAAATTGATCAAAGGAAAATTGAGGATGATTAGGGTGAAAAGTTGATCAAACACATTCTAATAATGAAATAGAAAGAAAAATCTATGGAAGATGACACTGTTAAGCAAGTACTTTTCATGATGAAGCTTTGGCATAACAATAAAATGTGTTTATTCATTTTAATTTATTTGAAAGAAAGAGATAGAGAGATCTTCCATCTGGTTGTAAACTCCCCAAATGCCTGCAAGTTCTGAGCCAGGCCTAAACCAGAAGCTGGGAACTCCATGGGTCTCCCATGTAGACAATAGAAACCCACATACTCAAGCCATCATCTCTTGCCTCTCAGGGCATGTATCTACCGGAAGCTGAATCAGAGTAGAGTTGAGACAGGATCCCGGGTGCTCTGATAAGAGATGTGGGCATTCCAAGTGGTGGCTTAACTGGATGTGCCACAGCACCCACCCCCAACCCAACATTTTGAGTACTTTTTCCTATCTCAAACTTTAATGTGTTTGTATGTACATATTATATATAAAATATGCATATTATTTATATATAATGAGTGGTCAAGGAATTTTGCTACTTTTTCTTAATGCATCTCTGTTGGTTTTCTCAGCTTAAAAGAGTTATAAGCTACACAAAAGTGAGACATTGAAAGAGTGGTAGGTGGCTTAGAAAAGTAGCATAATTATGTGAATTGTAGGATCTGGGTTTGTGTGCAGATTTGGTTGCTATCCATTCAGCACCACCACTCTACAAAATGATATAAAACAAAGACCAGAGAATCTTACAGAACCCAAACTTATTAAAATATCAACAAACCATTCCCTAATGTTTTGCTTTTAAAAGTGAAAGCAATCTGGCATCAGATAGCCAGAATGAGTTTCTGAAAAACCATTAAAATTTTAACACTCTGAAACTTGTTCAAGTTCAGTGCTCTTAATCCATCCTTGTAGCAAAACAACTTCATTTCTCTCCATATCTGAATGAATTAAGATTCTCTCCAACCTTTCAGTGAACTCTTTGGTATCAGAATCAATGTCTTAATTTGTTTTTCTTCAGAATGGGAGTGTCAGAGGTACATACTTGGATTGTATGAATTTAGATAAATTGGACTAATTATACCAGAATTCCTTTCCCTTCCTCTTTCTGTGCTAGCCTGGGCCATGAGAGATACTAATACCCATATAGTTTTTGACGATAAAGCATAGGAAATGAGTAGATACAGAAGAAAGAATAACCCTGATAAACATATACCATGTTCTTTTGTAGAGTTAGCTGTACAATGATTCATTCCTTTGGGTAGTAGGCAAATAAAGTTGAATTCATTGGTTCCTTGCCATTGGGAAGAAACTAATAGGTTTGGAAAGTATGAGAAGTGCAGTATGCCTAGAGTGCAGAAGCAGAGCTAGAGGGATTCCTTTTGCTATCAATATCATTTGGGGCAATATAGCACAAGGAGTGAGCAACTTGAGAAGGAAGAAGAGTCTTGACAAGTAATCACTTTTTGTTAGAGATAGTTCTAGTTTTTAGAAAAACCTACCTTCCATCTAAACAAAAGTGTTTTCTACAAAGTGAAAAAACACCATTAATTAGCTTCTTTTATCACTTCTGCCTTCTCCACATTTCCTATTAAATTATCCCCCATTCCCAGATTCAATCCCAGTAAGAGGTAAAAGAGTTCAGTTTTAGGACTGCAGTTCTAAGCAACTTGGAAATAGAAAGGATGATGATATTAATGTCCTCCTGCATGTGCTATGACCTGGGTCCTACCCTCTCCTGTAGTCTTTGCTTTACTATTCTGCTTCCACATTCACTTCAAGAAACCTTACCAAGTGCCAGATTGAATATCTATGTTTCCTCAACACCTGTTAAGACTCTTTCAATTCAAGTAATCTTATTCTTTAAACCTAGAACACAGGAATGTTGTACTTCCATCATAAAACTTCCTTGATTCCCCAGTTACTGTGATTGTTCTGCCAATGCCTTCATTTGCTAGACTTTGACTTTCCCAAAGTAAAGGAACTGATGAAATAATCTTTATATACCTAGTGCCCAATGGACTAAACCATGGAACATACTTAGAAGGATTGAGGTGACATTTGCTCATTTCACAAAACCAAAGAGAAAAAGATAACATTGTGTCTGTTGAATTCACCATGATTACTAAATGCTAATTTTTTTAAATTTATTTATTTGTTTATTTGAAAGTCAGAATTACAGAGAGAGGAGAGGCAGAGAGAGAGAGAGAGAGAGAGAGAGAGAGAGAGGTCTTCCATCCTCTGGTTCACTCCTCAGTTGGACACAACGGCCAGAGTTGCGCCGATCTGAAGCCAGGAGCCAGGAGCTTCCTCCGGATCTCCCATATGGGTGCAGGGGTTCAAGGACTTTGGCCATCTTCTGCAGCTTTACCAGGCCATAGCAGAGAGCTGGATGGGAAGTGGAGCAGCTGGGTCTTGAATTGGCACCCATAGGGGAAGCCAGCATTTGAGGCCAGGGCATTAACCCACTGTGCCACAGTGCCAGCCCCCTGAATGTTGTATTTTGATGTCTAGAACAATTAGGTTCACAGTACTGTACTCATTATAGTAATTATCTTGTACCGTTTTGTGCACAATTAGTGTATTTTACACACAGAGACAGCCACTCACACACCAAAGGCATGGTGATTGAGTTTTGGACGTTTTTCCCTCTCTACCTGCCATCTCTGTTCACTCTGTAACCTTCTGCATCTGTTATACAAACTGCTCCAAAATATCAAAACCCAATTCCATGCATTACTGGAGAAATGTATCCACTGTTTACATCCCCAAAGGACAAGGATGAGCTGACACAGTTGTTCAGGAGAAGTACATGAGAATATTCTGCCAACAGAGTATCACATAGACACATTTTTCTGACTTTGCTGTACTTAATTGCTGTGAGTGCAAAGCAGAGTTCATTTTGCTAATGTTATGTTTTGTTTGGGTCAGTTTTTTGAAATTTTACCTTGTTCAGCTTTGTTTTTCTGAATGTTTCTTTAGCTTTTAAATTCTCAGTACAAATGGTGTGACCTCAATGTTGTTATCTAATACAATTAAATAAGTGTTTAGTCACAAGGAAATGAGATTACCTTCCATTCCCATAAAGCCCTAATTTAAATATGTGTAACTCATAAAGTCTTAGATAATTTGCTCAAATTAGCTACATGGCTTTCTCCTTGGGTGTTATATCTAGCCACCCACAACTTGGCCTAATTCCAATCTAAAAAAAAGTTAAACATACAAAAGCAGCAATCTTGATGTGACAATCCTGGTGAATAACTCATAGTGTCTCACATTCTGGCACCTTCATAAAGTTCACTTGCAAGTACAGGAAGGGTTTCATCATGTCACTTACAAATAGAACTCAATAATCCAATTACAAGAGCATTAAAAGGTCAGTTAATAACTTAATTAGTTTATCAGGGATGACTCAGCGAGCCTTTCTGGAGCTAGTTGGTGAGGATGTTCAGTTCTTGTTCTGCAGACCTATTGTGCTGCCCTCTGTTTAGGAGAGCCTTGAATCGGAGATCGGCTGGACAATTTTTGTGGTCCAGTTATTAGGTGCCTTGTTTTGTTAGGTTACTTTGGATTGTTTTACCAACGTAGAAACAGAATGTTCAGAATCACCCATTGTTTGGATCAGGCTCACATGAGATTAGAAGAGCACACAGTTGGGAAAAGCCTGGTCCAGTTTGTAGGTGAGTGGATGTTTTTCTGGAGCAGAGCCAAGTAACTAATCAAGTAGTAACCAAACCCAAGAATTTTGTCTAATAAAATCATCCTTTAATAGTGCTTCTCAAAATTTTCCATTGAAAAATCTCACAAAGTAGAAGAGAAATCAGAGTATTGCCCTTATCCTTACCAAAATCCTGAGATATCTGAGGATATAACAAAATGAAGTGCCCAAGCTCAAAAATATTCAACAGTCTTGCTATTTTTCCATGAACTGTGTGCTAGTCTTGGACTTATTACCTGAATTACAAAAAATAGTTATTGAAATTACTTGTTAGTTAAGTTATTTAATTTCCCTTACTCCCCATCCAACTATTGAGTTAAATTAATGCTTCTGAAAGGTATACCATATTTATTCTATGGTTTCTTATAGCTACTGGTATACTGCTGCTACTGTGAATAGTTATTTGTAGGTTGGACTCATTATATGCAAAAACAAACAAACAAACAAAAATGCAGTAGAGCGTGTATGATACCCAATGCATTTTATAGTCAGTGAGTTAAATGACAGAGGAGGCAAAGCCACTAAATAAAGTGTTGGACTGTAGGTTACTGTAATTTTTTTAAAATTTTGTTTATTTAGTTAAAAAGAAGGGTCTCTCTCTCTCTCTCTCACACACACACACACACACAGAGAGAGAGAGAGAGAGAGATGGAGGTAGTATTCTGTCTGATGTGGGATGTGAGCATCCCAAGAATCAGCTTAATGTACTATGCCAAAGCACTTGCCCCTAAAATAATTTGTACTTAGTCTAAATTAAAAGACATTGTTTTCTCTTTGATCAAATTGCATTATTAAAAACTATCGCGCCGGGCCAGCGCTGTGGCACAGAAGGTTAATCCTCTGCCTGTGGCACCAGCATCCCATATGGGCTCAGGTTCTTGTCCTGGCTTCTCCTCTTCCAATCCAGCTCTCTTCTGTGGCCTGGAGAGCAGTAGAAGATGGCCCAAGTACTTGGGCCCCTGTACCCACTTGGGAGACCAGGAAGAAGCACCTGCCTCTTGCTTCAGATCAGCGCAGCTCCAGCCTTTGTGGCCAAATGGCGATTGAACCAACAGACGAAAGACCTTTCTCTCTGTCTCTCTCTCTCTCACTGTCTGTAACTCTACCTCTCAAATAAATAAATAAAATCTTTAAAAAACTATTGCACTGAAAATTCTGCATTAAATTATCATCTATGTCCACATGCAAATGATGGTGTTTTTAAGCCAATC